ATAGTGACTTTAATATCGTTTTAATAATGTACTGGACTGTTAGTATATGATAGCTGTAGAATACATTTTCTGTTCCTCACCTATCACAGAGACTTTGAGTACGTTTTAATATCTTCTAAGGTTAGCTTCCCTCAGAGCTCTTCCTTCTGAGGATTTTTTGTGCTGTTCGTGTTGTTTATTTTTCATGTGAACATTAACATCACCTTTTCTAATTGTCTTGAAAGTTCAGTGGAATTTTTGTTCATCAAATTAAAGATTTTCTTTGAAATTAACTGACATTCTGATGATATTACAGTGTCCTAATGAAGAATAAGGGAAGTTTTTCCATTTGTTTACATATACTTTATGTCTTTCAAGTTACGTTTAATGCCAAAAATTTCACAGTTCTGTTTCCTTTAGGACTATCCATGTCATTAGTTGTTTGCAGGCATTAATAGTTCTTAAAATAATATCTGAGAATAAACTAGCAAAAATTGTATTGATGCTTAAATTTTTATAAATTTTGATAAGTTTGTTATTTATTGGTTATTATAGACCATTTTAGAAAATATGTTTCTAATTTTCTTATTTTGAGTTAATGAAATTTTAAGAGAACGTAATCCTTATATTAAACACTACCAAGAACTCTGTGAAGTATAATTCTTACCAAGGTGGTATAAATTCTTTTTTTCTGTTAAAATTCTAAGCCTTGACTACTGAAAGTTTGCAACATGATTTCTGAAACAGGAACACCTATGTCATTTAATTCCTCCAAAAACATTTATGGTTTAGGGAAAATAAAATTTTAGCCTTCCTTAGTAAAAATTGCATCATTTTGATGGTAAACATATTGCAATAATTTCTAATACAATAGAAGATTACATAACTAGAAAATACCAGAAAGATGTTTATTTGTGTTTTATTGACTATGCAAAAGCATTTGATTGTGTGGCTCCTAACAAATTATGGATAACACTGAGAAGAATGGGAATTCCAGAAGACTTAATTGTTCTTATGAGGAACCTGTACATGGATCATGAGGCTGTCTTTTTGAACAGAACAAGGGGATACTGCATGGTTTAAAATCAGAAAGTGAGTGTGTCAAGGATGTATCCTTTCACCATACTTATTTAGTCTGTATGCTGAGCAGATACTCCGAGAAGCTGGACTATGTGAAGAAGAGTGCAGCATCAAGATTGGAGGAAGACTCACTAACAACCTTCACTATGCAGACGACACAACTTTGCTTGTTGAAAGTGAGGATGACTTGAAGCACTTACTGAAGAAGATTAAAGACTACAGTCTGCAGGATGGATTATACCTCAATGTAAAGAAAATGAGAATCCTTACAACTAGGCCAATAAGCACCATTACGATAAATGGAAAAAAGATTGAAGTTGTTGAAGATTTCATACTACTGGGTTCCAC